CCTTGGTTCGCCCTTGCTCTCTCTCTGCCTCTGCCTCTGACTTTGTCTCGACTCGGTTGATCGAAAGGATCTGCGCCTGCACGTCAGCTCAGGTCGGACAACGGACGGCTAGGCGGCAATCCAGATGCTCAAAGAAGCGGCATCTTCGACGAGAGGGAGGAAAGATGCTGGCAAACGGCCTGGCGACGGCTCCAGGGCGCCGAGAAGCCAACAAGGCCCTGGCCACGGCCCATGGCAAGGCCAGAGGCAAGGCCAAGGTCGACCGACCCACGGCTCACGCACCCTGGCCCTGCAGCGGCGACCTAGCTCGCCGCCTCCCGTACCGAATGCATACCGTGGCAGCAGACCAAAGGCACCCGAAAAGCAGAGAAGGAGCTGGGCTTCATCCACTTTCGTGACTCCTCTTCTCCGTTCGTCCTCCTTTCCCATCACCACCAAAACCCCCGCACCATTGTCACGGCAGACGCCCTTCTCGCGAGCACGCGCACCGCCGGACACAGCACAGCCAGCACAAGCACAGCCAGCACAAGCACAGCCAGCACAAGCACAAGCACCACCACCACCACCACCACCTGGCCTCCGTCGAACCGCCACCACTGGCTCGCCCGCAGCCGCCACGCTCCCCTCGGCCGGCCTCTGCGCGCGGACGCTCCATCGCTGGCGCCGCGTGCACCAGTATCTCCAGCTGAAGTACGCCCTCGAACCTCGCAACGTCCGGTCCTTTACCTTTACCGTGCCGACGCCGTCCTCGACACAGACCCTGAATCCCGACATGTCGGAGCCTCTGCCCGCGCAGCAGAGCGCTGACGTCAAGAGCCCCGACTCTGGCATTTCGCCGCGCACGGTGATCCAGGGCTCGTCGGCTGCGCCCGACTACTTTCCTCCCCCGAAGGCAGCAGCCCCAGCAGAGGCAGTCCCCACGAGCCTGGCGACAAACGCCGGCACGCAGGATGCACAGGATGCACTGGCTCCAGCAGACGCCGCCGGCGACACCGAGACACAAGCCCAAGCACCAGCACCAGCACCAGCACCCGCGCAAAAGCCCGAGCGGCCACGCATCCAGATCAAGGGCCAGGACGCGGCGCTGCGACCGGACCTCGCGCTGCAGAGCCCCTCGGGCGCCAGCATCGACTCGGGCACGACGGTGAGGCCAAGCGAGTCGGACGGGCCGGGCGAGACAGGAGGGCGCGAACGAAAGGCGTCCATCTCGTCGCTGAGCTTTGCGCCGCTGCACAACCCCGCGCTGCCCCAGGGTACGCACAAGAAGACGGACAAGACGAGGATCCGCGCGAGCTCGCCGCCGCCCAACCGGTACGTTTCCTTTCACTTTTGTATCTCTACAGTCCTCTCCCTGTGGTTTTCCCTGTGGTTTCCCTGTGATTTGTCCATTGGCCCCCCCTCTCTCTCTGTTTTACCTCGTCTGTGCTGCCTCTCCACCCCCCTCCCTCGTCCCCCAAGACTTGGTGCGGTGGGGTTGAGACGAGGTCGGCGGAGCTACGTAAGCTTCCCCGGAATGGCTTCGTTGCCGTCCAGTGCTTGCGTGCTCGGGGGGCTTTGGGGGCTGCGTGGGGTAGCCTGTCGGAGATCGACCGAACTGTTTAGCATGTGGCACGTCTCTTCACGTCATGATGGATACTACAGACATCTCCCGATCCTCCTGGGCCTGACTGCTATTCGCACCATGGCAGGGATTGTCAGGTCTCTTCTCTGCCATGGCAGGCCTCCCATCCAGCTGCCCCTCCCTCCCTTCATTACCTACCTACCCAGATCACACTCGTCGCCTTCAGGCTACTTCACATTGCCATACTTTGACGGCACCTCTTACGAGAGGGCCGGGCTCATCAGCGGCTGCGCCCCCCCAATACGATGGGCCTGCAGCTGAAGAGGGCCCGGCGCTGGTGTCAAGCGATGCCTGTCTAGGTAGCTGTCTAGGGACCTTCCCAGGTACTCTTAGGGGCCTCCCTAGGGACCTCGAGTGCGCTACCCAGGTACCCCGCCATTCACTCCCATGACACCGGTTCTGGCCTAGACCACCACGACCGAAGCGTCCGACAGTCACAGCAAGCATCATCAGACCACACAGCCCCCTTCCCCTTCCTCTGGCTTGCCTTGTCTGGGCCTTGCCTTGTCTGGGCCTTGCCTTTCCTCCCCTCGATCCCCTCTGGCGAATTGCCGCAAACAATCATCGACTCGGCTGCTTGCTCCAACGCCGCGCCTTTTTCTTTCTTTCTTTATGGTTCTTCCTCTTGAACTCTCTTTTTCGTTTCACAACCCCAATCGCATCCCTTCATCGCCTATCAGCGCCGGCACACCCCCGTCCAGTACCATGGAGCTGACCGACAACCCCGCGCACAGATTCCAATCACATGTCGCCTTTGACAACCTACCCCTCGGCGAAGCGACTAAGAGCAACACACCGTCTCTGACGCTCAATGTCCGCCACCGCGGCTACCAGGCCAAGCGCCGCTCGCGCACCTTCATGGTCGGCGTCGACGAGCACGCCTACTCCGACTATGCGCTGCAGTGGCTGCTCGACGAGCTGGTCGATGACGGCGACGAGGTCGTCTGCGTGCGCGTCGTCGACAAAGACATGCGCAGCATCGGCGCCTCGTACCAGGACGACGCCCAGGCCATGATGGACGCCATTCTCGAGAAGAACGGCGCCAATCGCGCCATCAGCGTTGTGCTCGAATACGCCTGCGGCAAGCTGCATTCGACATTTCAGAAGCTTGTACGACGCATGCGCCCTTTTTTTTTTTTTTTCCCCCTCCTGGTCTCCTCCTGGTGTCCCCTCTTTGCTGACCACGCCTGCATCAGATTCAAATATACCAGCCCGCCATGCTCATCGTCGGCACGCGCGGCCGCTCCCTCGGCGGTCTGCAGGGCCTCGTCAACACGCGAAACTCCTTCTCCAAGTACTGCCTCCAGTACTCGCCGATCCCCGTCGTCGTGGTGCGGCCGACGGAGAAGCGCGAGAAGAAGAAGAGCAAGCGCCTCAATGACACGGAGCGGCGCACCTACGTGCGCATGCTGTCGGCGACGGGCGGCAAGCACGAGGCGGACAGCGAGAAGAGCAGCCTGTACGAGGTCGAGGTCAAGTACTCGGCGGACGAGGAGGCGCACCAGGTGGCCAAGGTGCTCGGGCTGCCGGCGTCGTTTGATCCCACGGTCAAGCCACTCAACCCGAGCGCGCTGTTGCGCAACCGATACGCGGAGCCCTCGCCGCTGGGGTCGCAGACGCACACGCCACCGACCGAGGCGGCGGACGGCGTGGGCGGTGCGGGCGGCGTGCCCAAGGCGCCGGCGCCGCCGAGCACGACAGGCGGCCACAGCGACAGCGACAGCGACAGCGACGACGACGAGTTTGAGGTCATGCCGGGCGAGCAGGCGCTCGATCTCGACCAGCAGGAGAAGCTGCACGACATGGAGGTCGGCGAGGCGGCGGCGCTGCTGAAGCAGAACCGCCGACTGAGCGCCGAGTCGGGGAATGCCGATGACGACGACGAGGGGCGACACTCGCGGAAGAGCAGTGTCAGCTGAGGCGCGGCCGGCCGCATGTGGCCTCGAGGCCCGCCCAGGCGGGGAGGAGAGGAGGTCAGCTTTGTGTGTTGGCGGTCAAGCGTTTCGGATGCAGGCGGATTGCTGTTTTTTAGTCTCTCTTTATTTTTTGATGGACAAGAAGGTGTTCCTCCGTGTTTCGTCTGTCTTTGTACGTTGCCGTCTGTCTTCAGATGGCTCTTTTGGGTGTTTGGGAAAGCGATACACTTTACATAGGGAACATGAAAGTCACGCATGGATCCTGTCTCTGGCTGATGGTGTTTCGTCTCAGACGGGCGTGGCAGACACCTTGGCGTCTTTGCCATGTCTTTTGGCATGCCGGTCTATATGCTGTAGTAGAACTGTTGGCAAACCTCTGCATCACTGTCACTGCATCACTGACCCTGCATCACTGACCCTGCATCACTGACCCTGCATCACTGACCCTGCATCATTTGCGCCATGCTACTTGTCCATGTCCTCAAGATGATGGTCGCAGCAGAGGTGCTGGGCTCTCTCTTACTAAGCAAGGAGCAACGTGCATGCGGCTCGGACACGCGGCTGAACTTGGGCCCTGACGACTGGCGACTGACGATGGACAATTGACGACACGCCAACTTCATCCCTGTATACGCTGCATCTGCACCCTGCATCCGCATCCTGCCCACCTTTCCTCGACCCTCATCTCTCTTCACAACAATGACGGTCGGACGATAACAATCGGTCCCAGCAATCCGACGCCTCGACGCCCACGATCTGTACCTGAGACCGCAGCATCCCCCCCCCCCCCACGACAACACACCACATGCCTTCCCGACAAGTCCACCCCCCAAGCCGACGACGCAAATGCTCTGGTTCGGCTCCTCGTGCGACGACACGGCGTGCGCCCCCATAGACCCCCGCGCCCCCTCGACCCTGCGCTTCTCTGTGTCGCTGTCGCCCCTCGTCGCGACCTTTGTCCTCGTCGCCCTCGCCGCCCACCGACACCTCTTCCCGCGCCTGACCCGCGGCCACGAGGTCCGCGACGGCGCCGACAATGTCCTCCCCGCCCACGCCCCGCCCTCGCTGCCCCAGGCCCACGCCGAGCACGGCCGCAAGAGCCTGCGCCGCCGCGTAGCCGCCGCTGCCTTTTGCTCGACCATTGCCCTCGCCGCCGTCCTCGTCGAGCTCATCCTCGCCGAGGTCGCCGACCTCATGCCGCCGCGCGCCCGCGCCGTCGGCCTCGCCTTTGTCGTGCCCACGCTGCTCGTGCTGCTCGTCGGCGTCATACCCTTTCTCGAGATCCAGAGCGTCGTCGCCGGCCTCGGCTGGCGCTTCCAGCGCACCACAAAGGGCCGCCTGCCGAGGGCCGCCTGGACCATCCAGGGCCTCGTCTTTGCCGCCTGGCTCTTCGTCTTCTGGAGCCTCGGCGCCCTCGTGCCCGTCGCCGCCAAGGTCGACACGGCCGGCGCGCGCATGCGGGATGCCGACGAGGTCGGCGGCCTCACGCGCGCCTGCGTCGAGCGGATCGGCGTCATCGGCATCTCGCTCATGGCCATGCTCAGTGGCTTCGCCGCCGCCTCGAGCCCCTGGCACACCTTCGGCGCCTTGTCCGACAGGAAGCGACCGAGACCCGTCACGGACGCAGACCTCGCGCGCAAAGAGGGCGGTCTCGAGGCCGCCAACGAAATGCTCCTCACCAAACGACACCGCCTGCAGGCGCTCGAGCGCAAAGCGTCGACGGCCCAGACCTCTAGCGGCAGCGGCAGCGGCAGCGGCAGCGGCGGCTTCGTCGGCAAGATGCTCGGCACCATCCGCGGCGCCGGCGCCGGCGGCGACGCGAGCGAGATGCGCGGCCTGCGCCTCGAGATTGCCGGCCTCGAGACCATGCAGGCCAACCTCGCGTCGAACCTAGGCCTCATGCGGTCGCGCCAGGCGGCGTCGGCGCGCGCCGCGACGCCGCTCGGCCGCCTGCTCGCCGTGCCGCAGCACCTCTTCAGCTGCTACTGCGTGTACCGCATCCTCGCGACGACGGTGACGACGCTGCGCCGCGCCCACGCGCCGGCCGCCGCCTTCAGCGCCTCGGACCCCATCAACCGCGTCCTCGGCCTGCTGGCGCGCCACTGGGACCCCAAGCTCGACCAGCTCGCCTGGGCCCGCACCATCAGCTTCCTCCTGAGCGGCGTCATGCTCGCCGCCAGCGCCGGCTCCGCCACCCAGACCTTCCACCTCTTCGCCCGCTGGACCCCCGGCCTGCTGCGCCAGGCCCAGGCCAACCTCGCCCTGCTGACCGGCCAGATTGCCGCCGTCTACGTCGTCAGCGCCGCCCTGCTGCTGCGCTCCAACCTGCCGCGCGACGTCGGCTCCGCCGTCGGCGACGCCCTCAAGAGCGCCCTCGACCCGGCCTTTGTCGACCGCTGGTTCGAGGGCTGGTTCCTCGTCAGCAGCGCCGCCACGGCTGTGGGCATCTGGGTCGGCCGGAAGATCGCCGGCGACGGCGAGGACTGGATCGACGATTATGGCGGCGAGGAGGTCGGCCAGAAGCGGTCGTGACGTTTTGCATGTGTTTGGTAGAACGTCTGCTGTTGCGCATGTTACAATGATGGACGTCTGCTGTTGAGTATGTTAATATGATGATAGACGCCTGCTGTCGAGTATGTTGATATGATGATAGACGCCTGCTGTCGAGTATGTCCACATGATGGCGTTGTTCGCTGTGTGGCATGTGTTGATTTCATGAGGGGACTGTCCGCTGTATAGTGTGTGAATACGACGACGCAAGACGCAGGGTGCGTTGCTGTGCTGTGAGATACTCTTCAAAGTCGGCTTCACTGCCGAATGGTCCGGTTGCAAGTTATGTTCCCAGTTCAAGACGATGCAGAGTGAGGTGGCAGAAGCCTGACTACCCTTGCGTGGACCAGCACTGACGCGAGGGCTAGTGCGAAGGTCAGAACCCCCTCGGCCGAAATTCATCGACGAAAGACGATCGAATCATGATGTGAAATTGTGTATATGGACTCAGAAACAGCAACCAGTAGACTGCTCTATCAGGGGAAACGAAACGTACCCAGAACACGCCTTGATACTTGGCTCTTAGCCTCCATATCTACCAATCTTCCGATGGCTTCGATCGTATAGAGTAGGGGCCTCAAAAGGACATGCTCTGGGCTAAGTGCTGCCTCTCCTATTTCGAAGGCCTGCCGGAGAAGGCCTCTGCCTGCTGCCATTGGCAAACCCCAAACCCATGCAAGCCCATGATTTTGGCATAACCCTTGTGACCTACGCCCATCTCTGGTCGTTGAATCAGGTATTGAAGTAGGGCCTCTACTTCTTGAAATCTGTCTTGCAGACCCCATGTTAGCCCGAGGCTGCATGACAACCTCAGAACTTGTAGCTCCTCTCATGGGCCGAGTGTGTCTCGGTGCTGCACATCCTTCCGGAGGACAACCTCAGCTTCTTGGTGCTTGCCCTGACACTTCAAGATCAGCGACAGCAATGCCAGGGTTTGAAGTGCATATTTCTGCCGGAAGTACCTGTCCAGGTCAAGTCCGGGTGCAAGCCGAATTACGTCTTCGGCTTCCCTGAACTTGTGATGTGTGGACAATCCAGCAGCAAGATCGAAATGGACAGATAGAATCGCCATTTCGTTCAATTCTGGCGTCTCCTCGAAGAATGCAAGCGCTCGGCGGTCGCCTTCGTCGGCCACTTCGTACCTGCCCCTGGGCTTGAAGCGACGCTTTGAGATTTAGGAAGCAAAATAGCGTTCTTTCGTCATCCAGGTGCCGAGCCTCAATGAAACACTCCAGCGCAAAGCGCAGGTTCTTCTCTACCTCCGAGGACTGTTCCACGCTAAGCAGTGATGTGCTCAGAAGATAGATACGTTGGACTGTCGGGCTGTGAGTCGGACCCAGAACCCTCCTCCGTATCCCGACAGTCTTGCGTAGCATCATCACTCTTCTCTGGCATACGCCCATTTGGACTTGGTAGACACCCGCTTTGCTGAGAACATTTGCCATGCTCTCGTCTAGAAAGGCATCCACTGTATGCCGCTCATCTTCGAACAGACCCAGGTGTTGGTCTAGCATATCGCATACATGCAACTTTCCTCCCATTTCGGCGTCGGGATACTTGCTGGACATGGTGTCGAAGAATAAACACTGCGCTGGCTGCTTCCTGTCTTTTGACTTAAGCCACTCTTGAATGCAGAACTGGACCATCGAGTGCATGTCAGACACGTCCTTGCTCACGTCCACCCCGATCAGCGAGTATCCCGTGAGACGGGTCAACTCATCTTCGACAACGGGTGAGGCTTCTGAGGAGGAACTGCTGCTGGCTGTCGCTGGAAACTGGCCTTCTTCTTGAGGCTGCTCTGGCACCCAGTGCTGTAGAATTCAGATAGGAATGTTCTGCGCACTGAAGAAGCTCATGAGCGCAAGACGATATGCTGCCGGATATGTTGCCGACCTTTGCTCCTCACACATGAACTCAAAGGCATTCTACCACAACTCAATGATGGAATTATGGGCGGTATAGCCCCTTCGCATGTCCTTGACACCTTTATTGAGAAGCTCTGCCTTCTGCTTTCTGTCAACCCGAAGCTTATTCACATATTCGGTCGGCGACATGAGAGCTTGACGGTCGATGTATGCAGCAGCCTGTGTAATCGCGAGCGGCACCCCTCCGAGTTCCTTGACCAGCTCAACTAATGTGGCAGGCTCGTCCTTGCCGCCGATTCTTCCGGCGGACCAACTGGAGCGCTAGCGCTTCGTCCATGAGAGGGGCATCGAAGATATTCTTGTTGCCGCCCGTCAGCTCGAGCGCGACACCTCGACTGCGGGATGTGATGACGAAGGAGCCGTTTCTGTAACTAGGGAGGAACGCAGATAGTGGTTCTCCCTCGTCGTTTTGTTTGATATCCAAGACTCGCGCATCATCGACGTTATCAAGGATCATAAGCCACTTCCCATAGATTTCATCGCACAGCCAGCGATTCACCAGTTGTAGCACGGCTGCGTTCGGTTCATTATGACCTGGTGTTCGGGAATCCGCCGCTATCGTCCGGTACGCGCTCTTGAATCGCTCGGTAGCAAATACCCAAAGGACATTGATATCGCTCGATGATGCGATTTGACAAGCATGGTTTGTGGCAAGCTGTGATGTACTGTTGGGCTTGTTCTAATGGCCTCGTCTAGACGAGGTAGCACACTGACCCGATACCGCAAGGGCCGATAAGCGCAGCACGGTACGGCGGCACTACGAGGCGCTCCGCCAGCCAGCTGGAGATTGTCGGTCTGTTAACAAAGATTGCGTCTGGATGGAATGGAACCATCCTGACTGGTGTAATACGCTGAGGGACTGTCGCAAAGTTATTTGAAATGGGCATCGAGGCTGCCGGCCTCTGACGTGCCAGCAAATACCTTACGTGCGGATATCGGACCGCCAAACGATGGCCCAACAACGGGTCAAAAATCAGTATTTATTGATGATCATGTCAAGTGCAGAGAGTGAGGCCGTTGACTCTGGAGGAGACTACTCGATGATCTACACGTAGTAAGGCAAGAGATGATCATAGAAGAGCGAGGAAGTAGGGTAAGGTTAACAATGATTCATATTGTAGTTTCGGTGTGACAGCACCTTGGGATCAGGAAACTTGATTGATTGGGCAAACGAGGAGAGGTATCTATTTAAGGTGGATGGACGTGGGATAAATCGACCATGTCTGTTCGTCCATCCAATATGCCACTTCTTGAGCCTATGATTTCACCGTGGCTTGGATCACCCACCTCGCGATCGAGGCCGAGGCGGCATTTCATATGCTCGACGGTCTGTATCCCGGACGGTTCGCTTTCTCGCCACGCTGCCTACCGGCCAAGAATACGGCGCAGGATTCCGCGGCCGCCATTGCCAGCCAGACCAAGTCGTTTCCCCCTGACATCTGGTTCAAACTTCCCGTCGAGGTGGCGGCGGGTCTCCCGAATCTCGCTCGAGCCCCGCCGCAAGACAATTGTCTTGGGGATGGGCTGGTTGCGCTTGCCAATGCCAAGACCCGAGGGTCGTCGCCTACGATCTGGGCAAAGACACTGGTGGAGACGTGGAGCTGTTGCACTCTGGACACGTAGTCGCCGGTACGGATAACCTCATGCTGTCAGCAATCACGAGCATAAACTTTCACATGCCATACGACAGCCAGATCTTTCTCCGACATCTTGTTTCTTTGCAAAAAAAAAACAAAAAAAAAAGTTGGAAGTAAAGCGCACATTCGTCGACCTCGGCCAGGACAAAGAGAATCTCTATGGCACTGACGATGATGGCAAGATGATCGAAGTGCACCGCCAACTGAGACAAGAGGCACAGCGTGCCCACGTCCGGTACGAGTTGATCGGCTAGGAGGAAAAGCTGATGAAGAATGCCCGCAACAGAAATCGCCTCCGCTCCAGGTTCGACCTCATCGGGGTCGAGATGGAGGCGGCCGGCACCATGAACCGGCTCCCCATCATCTTGATCCGCGGCGCGTGCGACTATGCCGACGAGCACAAGAACAAAGAATGGCAGCCGTACGCGGCGGCCATGGCAGCGGCGTAGGCAAAGGCCATCTCGCTGGAGATCACTCCCAAGCGGACCACGCATAGACAGACCTCCGCCGAGGGTGGGTCTGGATCGGCGACGGGCCGACCCGGCGGCCCCGTGTGTCACGGCCCAATCTCTGGTCGTAATGTCGTGGCCGGCATGTCGACATCGGGGAACACGAATTAGACAGTCAACTAGGGGTGTGGTACGAACGATTTTATCAGTTTTCATTTGGGAGGCGGACAACTGATGGATAATACTTGTGATTGGTGCTGTGCGGCCTCTTCATCCCGGCCTCAGCGACCGTCGCAGGACGCAGCGATCTCGGCACGCATGACTCGTCTCTTTTAGAGTTCATCTCTGTTAATTTGAGCTCATTGTTTATCAAGACAGCAACGATGTCTCCTACTTTATCTCGCAATGCATAACACCATTGCTCGTGACCCTACAATTTGGGCAATCCAAAATTCCAACGCTTGCAGACCAGACTCCCAGCGCCCGGGTAATTTCCAAATCCATGACCAACCAGGGGCCGTCTTTTACAGTGCCGACTCGCGAACCCTGGCTCCCTTTTGCCTACCGTCAACATCCTGCCTCACAGCGAGTTCAAACTCGGTCCTGACCACGATGCCATCCCCACTTGACAAGCTGATATCGTCCTTATGCATCCTCTCAACGTTGCTGACGGGACCGTTGATGTTCTCCTGACTGTCAAGCCCTGTGTGTGTATTCCTCAGCGAACGAAGCTTCGTGTCACGATGACCTCTAGAGCCGCCTCCACTGTTGCCGCTCCCGTTTTGATAGTAAGCACGGTCGGTCGACCCGCTGATGTCCTTGCGCAGGATGAAGCGATCAAAGACAGGCTTGATGCCGGGAATGGAGAGCGCGATGAGGGTGGCGCCGATCTCTGCAACCTCAACAATGAGCATCGGGTTGTAGGCCCACGACATGTCGGGCTCCCACTGGCCTTGGATGACAAGGGCGAGGCGGGCACTGGAAATGGCGATGACACTGGAAACTGTCAGCCGACGATCCGAGGCTTGAGATGTTCTTGCCAATAGGGGGCAAGGGCCCGCGACTTACAGAATACCAGGCAGCAAGATACAGGCCAGCTGGATCTTCTGCTTGCGTTGCATACGCAACATCCTGAGCATGGCGATGGGGATGCCAAACAACAGAAAGTCGCAAAACAGCGAGATGACCGAGTTTACACTGTACACAATGCCCCAGGCAAGACATGAATATTTTTCGACGCCCGGCTGCCAGTCGTAGGGCCACAGGGCCGTCACGGGCAGGCAGTGGAAGATGATGAGGCACATCTGGGGCAGGTAGCCCGCGACAAGAACGCCGGCGGTGACGCGAATGGCGATCATGAACCTGTTGTGCTGGCTGCAAAGACGGTGGTAGAATGCCAGGCCTGAAATACGACAGACTAGTAGGGACGTTGTGTAGATGAGATGGGCAACGAAGTCGAGAACCTCGGACTGCTCGACAACGGGCATGGTCATGACATGCTGAATATATTCGTAGTGCCGTCCAGAGCCGATCTGGATGAGCTTGATGCAGAGGCCGACAAAAGGGGCGTACAGTAAGAGAGATAAAGCAGCCAGGGCATCGTCGAAGCCTAATAGTTTGACCATGAAGCCTCTCGATAGGAGACGGATGATGACAATGATGGAAGAGGCAGCGAAGATGAAGGCGATGGCGGCAATGGCAGAACCGTCACGGCTTTCATTGAGGAAGTCCTTGGTGATGCCCTCTGGCACGCGGCCATCGCGGAAGGCCTGATCGACGAGGGGGTCGCCCATGTTGGCGGGCCGAGGGTGATCCTCCTGTCAAGATGGAAGATATGGGTGCGTTTTTCTTCTCCTCTGCAGTCAAGTGTAGGTAGAGAGGAGGGACAGCAGGAGGAGGGGTGTGGATGTGTCTGTGGGACTAAAGGAGGGCGGATCGATCCGGAGCCAAGAGATTCCAACGGTCGTCTTATAAGATGATATAGCAAAATCGATCAGACGGCGCAGTCGCGAGGCGTCAGATACGCCGGGTGGCTTGCCGTTTTCATATTGAGTTTACTGGGGGTTTGTCTGAAAGTGAAGTCTGGAATATTGCGCCAGGCTGATGAACAGAGAGAACAATTCGGGGGCAGAGGGCAACAGAGAGCAGGAACAAAGGAGACGTGGGCCTCGAGAAAAGGGGCCCAGTCTAGGCTTGAGGCAGGCGTGGAGGACAAGACCAGACAAGAGACAGAGACAATATGGGGCAAGGGTGTCATGTGAAACAGGGCTGTGGCTAGAAGGGCAAGAAGGCCAGACTTGTTGCGAGCCTGCAAACCGCGACGCCATATCGCGGAACATCAGTCGACCGTTGACGAATGCGGTGGGTTGTGGCGTTTTGTTAGGAGCCTCCAGGTTGAGGCTAGAGACGTAACCACGAACCTTACGGTGAACTCGGCCGGTGATCGAGTGGGGCCATGGAAAAAAAGGCAGCACCTGCAGGGAAAGGACGGCAGAGGAGGGCAAGGACAGACGGAAGCGGCCGGAGCAGATGCCGTTCGGTTGGTGCTGAGGGTTGCCCAGCGAGCTGATTTAGCACATCTCTTTGCAGGCGGTGGCTTGGCTCGCTGCCAGGGACGGCCCTGAAGGCGCTCGAGGTGCTTTGCCTAAACGGGGAGGCTTGACCCTTCTCAAAGGCACTGACACTGGGCTTGGCTTGACCTAGCGGCACTGTACTCGGCACACAGGCATTAAGCTCGCTGCAGGGCATCGATCTGTGAGGTAAAGTACCTACTACAGCGGACGGCCGGGCGGGGGTGTGCCAGGGTAAGCGAGCGACGGCGAATGGGGCCGCGCGGAACAATTTGCGATCCCATCCGGCTGGTGGGCCCTCTAAGCATCAAGAAGGTAAGGCCGAGTGATGTTGTTGTTGATGGCCTGCTGCAGGTGCAAGTGCGGCCGTGGTGGTCAGGTAGGTACCATAGAGGTTGGTTGGCAGCCAAGCAAGCCAAGGTACCATGCAGGTGTACGTTCATGTGAGGTCAAGTAGGTGCAGGCGCTATCGCGAGCTAATTACCACCACCGACGCCTGCTTCGTCTCCCTAGTCGTACCTGGCTTCTGCTTCCTTCCTGCTACCAGGCGACGCACTTTCCTCGCTCGAAGTACCGTACCATACCTTCCTTGAGTACTCTGAGGCTAGGTAGGTAGGCAGGTACGCCAGGCCATTGATTTCCTTGGCAGCCACCACCGCAACGAACAACATGGTCCCACGGCCTCCCGCTGCCGTCGCGTCCCTTGCATCGAAGCGGAATATCGGATGGTCATGACGAGACGAAGCCCACCCCCCGGTCCTCCATCTCCCGAAATCATCCAAAATATTGGAGCCCCTTATCTACATTACAGTTAGCTACATCTGCCCTCAGTTATACGAACAACAGGCCTGACTTTCCACTCACAGTATAAGGACTAACACCACCTCCGCTGGTACCCGTCCTCCCCCTCGCTGTCCCGTCCCGTCCCGCCCCTCTCTGTCCCGTTCCCCCCTCTCCACTCCCCTCCCTCTCCCTCTCCCTCTCCTCCTGACCACTCTGCCCCCATCCCCTCGACTTTTTTTCCACACGAGACGAAACGAGCGCGCGACACGCGACCCGAGATGCATCACCATCACCTGGCCCTCGCCGTGGCGTGTGCTGCGGGCGCCCACGTAGCTCACGCGCAGTTTGGCACGGGCATCTCGCCACTCCTCTTCCCTCTCCTCGAGAATGTCGACTCGAACGACCTCTTCCCCGTGGACACCTGTGGCGATGGCTTCCAGCTCGAGGAGGCAACCATTGACGACATGCAGCGGGCCATGGAGGCCGGCGCGCTGACCTCCCACCAGCTTGTCCTCTGCTACCTCCAACGCACCTATCAGACCCAAGAGTACACCAAGTCTCTACTACAGTTCAACCCTGACGCCTTTGCCATTGCCGCCGAGCGCGACGCCGAACGCGCCGCTGGTAAGGTTCGTGGACCTCTCCACGGCATCCCCTTCACCGTCAAGGACAACATCGCCACCAAGGACAGCCTCGAGACCACCGCCGGGAGCTACGCCCTTCAAGGAAGCATCGTTCCCCGTGATGCTCACGTCGTCGCCCGCCTGAGGGAGGCCGGCGCCGTCCTCTTCGGCAAGGCTGCTCTCTCTGAGTGGGCTGACATGCGCAGCAACAACTACTCCGAGGGTTATTCAGCTCGCGGTGGCCAGGTTCGCAGCGCCTACAACCTGACTGTCAACCCCGGCGGCAGCAGCTCGGGCAGCGCTGTGGGGGTTGGCTCGAACGCCATCGCCTTCTCTCTTGGCACTGAGACCGATGGCAGTGGTGAGTCCTTTTTGTTTTGTGGTCCTCCTGGTCATGTCTTGGAATCAGAGACGCATCCGGCCTCCAGCTGGAATGAGACGCAAGCTGATGACAGGTCGACCAGTCATCAACCCCGCCATGCGCAACTCTCTTGTTGGCTTCAAGCCCACTGTCGGGCTCACCTCTAGGGCTGGGTATGTTCGCTTCTTGATTCGCGCCGTTCGCTGCTAAACAGAGTCTAGCGTCATTCCCGAGAGCGAGCACCAGGACTCCGTCGGCACCTTCGGGCGCACCGTTCGTGATGCTGTCTATGCTTTTGATGCCATCTGGGGCATTGACCCCCGTGACGAGTACAGTCTCGCTCAGGAGGGCCACACGCCCGAGGGTGGTTACACTCAGTTCCTGACGACCAAGGCGAGCCTCAAGGGCGCCGTCTTCGGCATTCCCTGGAAGAGCTTCTGGGTCTATGCGGACGACGCCCAGAAACGCGTCCTCAACAGCTTGATCTGCAGTCTCAAGGATGCCGGCGCTAAAATCGTCAACAACACGGAGATTCTCGACTACGAGACCATTGTCAGCCCGCACGGTTGGGACTGGGACTACGGTTCCTTCCGCGGTTTCCCCAATGAGTCCGAGTACACCGTCGTCAAGGTCGACTTTTACAACAACATTAAGACATATTTGTCTGAACTCGAGAACACGAACATTCGCTCCCTCGAGGATATTGTCCAGTACAACTATGACAACGACGGGTCCGAGGGTGGGAATCCCTGGCCCCTTGGTAACCCGGGCTTCTACTCTGGCCAGGACGGCTTCCTTGCCTCGCTCGAGACCAAGGGTATCAAGGATGAGACGTACCTCCAGGCCGTTGAGTTCACCGGCCGCTCTACTCGTGACGGCATCAACCATGCTTTGAGCCTCGGTCCCAAGGGGACCAAGCTGAACGGCCTTCTTGTGCCTCCTGACGTCGGCCAGAGCTATCAGATTGCCGCTCAGGCCGGTTATCCCGTCGTCACGCTTCCCGTGAGCGTGCACGAGAGCACAGGCATGCCCTACGGCCTTGCCATCATGCAGACAGCCTACGGCGAGGCTGAGCTGGTCAAGTGGGCCAGCGCCATCGAGGACCTGCAGCTTACTTCCGGCACGCCTCTAAAGAGGTCGCTGCCCAAGTGGTACGGCTACCTCGAGAGGAACATTCCCATCAACAACGTTTGAGGAGGTCCTCGTTGTTGGATGTGTACATAACTGGTCTCACACTTATATACCTTGTCCGCATAGTAATTCCCCTTTTCAAAGGGTGTTAATTGGTTCGCGCTATGACCGTTCTTGTGCATTGAGTGGAAGACGCTGACGCTGAATGGGAGCAAGCCGACATGCTCGCTAGGACTGGTGGCTTGAGGGTAAGGCAAGTTGGTTCATGACCCCTACAACGGAGGCAAGGCCTCTACTGCTCAGCAATCCCCGAGTTTACGCTGCCCTTGGTCTGTTCTTGCGGACTTGTCCTTTGGACATGGAGCCAGGCCTCGATGCATATAAGGGCCAGGAAGCGAGTTGCGACAGCGTACTACACTCGAGGTGCCAGCGCCAAAGCATGCGTCTGCCATCTATGAGAGACAAAAGGCCCTCGTTCCTGATCAGGACGTGCTCTTCGTCACAAACTCTATCCTGTCCATGGCCCTCCCAAGCTTAGCGACGCTGCTCGTATCTTAGGACAAAGCAACGGGGTGACGACCACGGGCGGGAACACCATGGACTTGTCGATCTCTGCCCACTTTTTGTGCGGCCGCTGGCCAGCATTGGCACTCGAAGTTTTGGGACGGTCGCGATCGGAAGTTGAGCGACGCGGGAACGAGCGGGTCTAGCGTCGATGGCGGCGGACGGCGCCTTCGGCCGTGGAAGGCGAACTATTGGATCGTGCATCAGTTCCATTCCGGAGGGTTACACGGGCCCGCATTTCTTCTCTGACTCCGTTATGACTTGTTCGTGGCGGCGCGTCCACTTTTCAAAGTGCGTCGGGAGGTGTGCATGACTTGGCACGGCGAGGTGGAGGTGAGGTCGAGAGCGAGATTACGGCCCGGTAAAATTCTGACGCGCACCTTGCTAGGAGCAGCCCAGAGAAGTCTAGTATGCGGGGATGCGAAGTCAAACATGGAGCTGACAGAATTGTGCAAGTACGTGACTTGTATGGAAAAACGCACCGTCAGGTTGATCGTTCACAAAGAGCGAGTTGGAGGTCGGCCCGATGTAGATGCGCGCGGACAGGAACAGAGACCAGCCTGCGGTATAGTTCTCATAAGCAAGTAGAGACTTTATCATGCGCACGGCGTCCTGGGAAGTTGTTCAGGTCCATCTTCGCAAACGCCGCGAGCGTTCTTGCTACTGACGAAACTTGAGAGCCAAGATGATCAAATCGTTCGGGGTACAGCAGCCGGATGATCACCTGTAAAGAAAGCAGCGAACGACGAGACTTAGATAACTGTCGATAGACCCCTCACACTTTCAGTCGGTAGTTTTCATGTAGAAAAAGCGGCCTTCTTCTCAACCCGAATACAGGCTTCCTGCAAGACAGCTTGGTTGTGCGTCCCACGTTATTGCCATCCTCGGCTCTGAAGTAGAGGGGAATCTCTCTGTCCTCTGAGCCATGGATTGTAATGACCTCTGACACCTTGGAACTCATGAATCAATGCTCATCGATCTCCGCTGATGTTCTGTGTGCCATGGAGTAACGTATCAGTGTTACGAGTTAAGCCCGTTGACTTTGTATAGGCCTGGGGCCTATACGGTATCTCTATGAATGCAGCCCAGTTGGATTAACGACGTTGGTTCAATACGTATCATTTTGGCTTAGTTCAATAGCTGCCATGAGGCACGTCCGGCCGTGTGAGGGCTGCCACCAAACCCCTTTTGGGCCGACCGTAATAACTATATGTAGTATATAATGCTTTTGGGAATTCTGCACACCGGAAAAAGCCCCTCTTTCGAGTGCGGAATGATACTGGACCTGAAGAGGGCGGCCCGCCCCTCATGGCTCTGGAAACAGCTCGGTCAAAGAGGGGTCATCTAGCACCTCATGACCAGAGGTATTTCCAAAGATGAAGGTGTGGGCGCATGCAGCTTATTAACCTGAATTTGAGGCCTGCAGTGATGGGAATCTGCGATTACCATTCGACAAAGATGGGCTGTTGCGGGTTGAATGCATGTGCGAAGCGCAGCGCCCTCTGATGTTGGTATCTTTTGATCTTCAACCAGTGCCTGAGTGGCCGGGGGAAAGGGCCCTCCCAGTATCCGATCAGCTCGAAACAGTCAAGCGTCGATGCGTCATCTGCAGTCATACAATATCTCGATGCAGTCATCCACATGCATGCTGTCATGCTGTGCGTTCTCTGACTGACGATGCCCTCGGCGAATACCCTGTGCTCCTCTGCTCGTCAGGAATCTACTTTCATCGGGCGAGGAATATGTTGCGATGCAGCAAGGGGCGATATATGAGGGGCTCGGCTGTCTCTCCCAAGCAGCGAGACTTCACTTTGCACTTTTACCATTTCGCATTATCATCATCCTAGACAGGCCATTTCATAATCGTAAATATCAAATCTATATCCCTCTATTCACTCCATCATTTCCCTCTCAGTTACTCCCTCCACTCTCATCATGTCCGCTCGCGCACGTTCGGCCGCCATGCCACCCAAAACCAGCTCCACGCAGGCCGGAGTCAAACGCTCGAAGCCGTCACACATCACGGCCGCTCAAACGCCCACACCAGCCGCGACGGCGCAATCAACCGGTCCACCACTGCCTGAGCCTGTGTTCTTCTCCAAGCCTGACGATCCAGAGGCCGGGTTCCTTTCTCAATGGTACCCCAGTCCTTTCTCGAACCCGTCAGACCCCTCCGTTGTCTTCCCGTCAGCCGAGCATTACATGATGTACCACAAGGCCCTCCTCTTTAACACGTCCGCTGCCGCCGGTATCCTGGAGGCGACGAACGCGAGCGAGGTCCGCGCCCTGGGCCGCCGGGTAGCTGGCTTCGACGAGTCGGTCTGGAATGAGAACAAGATGCGCATCGTCACGGAGGGGAACCGGCTCAAGTTCTCGCAAGGCTCCGAGTCAGTCGAGTCAGAACAGCTTCGCGAGCGGCTATTCGCAACGGCTGGCAGGGATCTCGTCGAGGCGAGTCCGACGGACCGCATCTGGGGCATTGGCCTCAGTGCAGAAAAGGCCGCGTCGTCCGACCGCAAGAATTGGGGGAAGAACCTCCTAGGGACTGCGCTGATGGCTGTCAGGAAGGAGCTGCTTGCCGAAGAGGACAGGTTAAGAGAGGAGGCGGAGCGTACATAAGCGGTCAGATAGTTTGAACATCTTTTGAGAACGTAAACAGTTCTTTGTCTTCTTCGATCAGGTTTCGTAGCTGCTGCGTCTGTTTGGTGTTCAGCTTTACGGTCGGCCTTGCAAATACTATTGTACTCACCCAGAGAGCTGTTGATGACCACCTAGTAGGGGCGACGCTTGATCACAAGAAATCTCCGTGTAACAGGTTCAAGTGTCATTTTCGCCGAGTACAGGGGCCAGCTTCAATAGCAAGCAATACGAGTACAACAGCCTGATAAGGAAGACAGACAAGACGTCTTGGC